ATTATTTAGGATAATAAATACAGTCTTCTTCCTTTCTGGAGAGTTTTAGTAAGTGGGGTGATGATGGTTAAGAAAGAGGGAAATGTAATACAAGGGCAGTAAGAAAAACAATAAAGATCATCTAAGGTTATCTAAGACTCAAAATAAAGCTCTTTTGGAGAAAATATAATTTTGCTTTCCAAGCAGGTATCTATTGCAAATAACTTCTAAATTAGGGGTAGAACTTTGTGTTCACTTCCCCTTCTCAGTTCTGTAATTGTATCTTGCTTAAATCTGTGTAGGTTCTTGTGATTACTGCCATGGTCTCTTGGTTCATATGTATACATTATACATACAATACACTTGATTATATTTATCCCACTCCCTACTACTTCCTGTAACTCTTCCAAGATCCTCCTTCCATCTCATTTCCCAAGCCAGTCTTACGTTTAATAACCCACTTAGTTCAGTTTGCTGCCTAGCTCCACACAAATGTTGGGCCATCTACTAGAGCATGCTTCATCTACCAGGGATCCCACCCCTAAAGACAACTCGTTCTCATGCTTTTAACAACTCTTCATCTAAGCCGTTTATTAATATATTGTTTCTAAGAAAAACAGACTTCATTGATACTTAGTATGAGCCATTTTCTTTTTGTAAGGGGGGGGGAACACAGAGGAAACTAAGACATAATGAGGTTATTCACCATTAAGTCTCTCTAACAACTGTCTAGATAAAAAAAATACTTTGCATCATGGTCTCAGATATTTGAGTCCATGCTTAGCTGGCTGCATGGCTTTTGGGACATCATGGCAAAGAGAATGTGGTGTACTGAAGCTGCACACAAATCGGGGAGAGAGGAAAAGGGAACAGGGAAAATATATAAAAACCTTCAACCAGTGACTTCTGTACTCAGCTAGGGGCCAACCCCTCAGAGTTCCTTCTGCTTTGACCCTCTCTACAGATTATCCCAGAGTCTATATGATACAAGCATCTCATAGGACCAGCACTAGCTGGAGCAATCCCGCCAAACATGAGCCTGTGGAGACATTTTTGTATACACACTGTCATACACGGCCACCATCTGCTTTTATTAACTAGAGTGGAAATAGACAAAAATCCTAAAATCTTGTGCACAGCTTTATTTTGCACTTACCATGCTTCTATCTACACAGAGTACCTACTTCTAATTAGATTTTGAATTGTTTCTTGAATTGAATGATATCAATAAATATCTGACAACAATTAGAAGACAAAGACACATGATACACCATGGATTAACGAAGAAGAGGCAACTTTCTTTGTATGATTAGAAAAGCAGTCCACAAGACCTTAGATCAAAGACTGTAAAGATCCTCAATATCATACTTATTAGAATGTACTGGGAGAAAAACATGGTGGAAAACAAGTATTGAAACCATTCGAACCTAGTGAAATCCTAAAGACATTTGCATTCAGCTATTGCTACTGAATATATTATTCCAGCATTCTTGGGATGTAGTCCAGACACTTACTTACATTATAATGCAGGTTTTTGAATAGTGAAGGCATTTTTAGAACGCCTTGGGACTTTGCAGAGATCAAGCTATGAAAATATAAGGACAGGCCTACAAGTCTGTTTTTAAGTACTACAGATCATAACTAAAATTGACTAAATGAGACTAAAAAGACATCAGAAAGGTAAACAAGAGCCAGGCACATGCACGTTAAGAAAATAGACTGACGAGTGTCCACTCTGTATAATCACATAGTCACTCAGGAAGCTCTTGAATTTCCCCAACCCTCACTTCTCTCTTGTGGAAACTGGAGATACTAACAGGAATGATTTTATTGGGTTGGTTCAAGAATAAGTACACAGAGAACATTTCCTGCTCCTCAGAAAGCATTTCTTGAGTTAGTTTAACTCAATATGCGTATTCCACATATTGGAGCACTTGCAACTTGGACTCATCTTTAAATGTGTTAGTTTGGATATATACCCATGATTTACTCCCAAGTGAAAGAAAATAGGCTGTCAGAGTGGAGTAATAAACACTTCTGCAGTCATAAGTAAGGAAACACACAAAATTATTCCTAGTTGAATATATTGATTAACACTTAAATTGGGCCCCAAACATTGAACAAAACTATCGGCTACTGTTAATAACGCCAACGCCAAGAAGGCTGGACCTGTGTGGAAAGTGCATGGTGTATTCAGACATTGCTGCATTAACTGGCTCATTATAATGAACACATACTGCTTCCTTGATTTAGAAAATTACCAATTTAATCTTAATAAAGTAAGTGTGAAAGTCTCGGAGCCAAAGTCACTGCTGTGTGTTATAGATACAGCCTGAAAAGGAGAAGCTAGAAAACTGCAATGAATCCTAAATGCAAAGGGGAGGGATAGAGATGTGTGAGATGGCAGCCCACAGGCCTTCAGGTAGTGGTGGTGCACAGCAGTGAGCACAGAAACGAACTGCATCATTGGGTGTGTATTAATACAGGAAATACCCATACAGGGACATTTTCACACATCGTTTTTAGAGTGTGTACTTCCATTTCGTAGCCTTTTATTTACAGCTGAGTAAAAACTAGGTTTGGTAGGAAAAGCACTCTTCAAAGCAAGAAGTTAACAGTCTAACCCAAGACACTCTTTGCTGCTCCCCAGGAGTGTCTGGAGTGGGAAGAGGAAATATCTTGCCATCCAGTGGTGGGACGTGAGATTCTGCTTTTGATCAGTCACCTGCAACAGTAAACCTCTCTGACAGAGGCCGTGCTGGTGTGTGAACCTTTAAAGGTGCATGCTAGCATCTTCTTCAGAAGTGCCTAGGGCTTCCTCACTAGCTAAGCCCTCTCTGCAGAGGGCTGATTACCCTGGACACGAGAGGGGTAAGATTAATATATTTCTTCTTGGAGATACTAAGATGAATATATTACTTCTTCGAGATACTGTATCCTGATTTGACATTTTTATTTATCCAAACCTTTAAGCTTATCTTGCTTCAAAGGGGAAAAGCGGTTTCCCCCACAAATCTCAAGGCTTAATCCACTATCAGCTAGAGTTGCTACTCAGGTGTGGTTAATTGTCCCGTGTCAGCTCACCCGGCCCCTCTCAGTTTGCTTCCCCCGAGCTAACAAAAAACACAAAACAAAATCAGCAACTTGCTCCGGGATTAAGGTGCAATCGATGGCAGCCCGAACAGGGAGTAAATCTCATTAATTGGGTACAATAGTAGCTTGTCATCCCTGTCTCTTAGATCCAAAGAGCTGTAAGTCCTAAGAACTTCAGTGCAAGGTCAACTGGCTCTTGGCCCCCACCTACTCCAGTTCCCAGAGGGCCTCTGACACTTGACTCTGTAGTATTCAGCTGGTAGAATGTCAAACAATAAGGCTTAACTTAGGCTTTGGATCTGGTTGTTAAACATTTCTCAGTTGCTCAGTTTTACAGAAGTAGAAAAATACGCTGATAAGAATCTCAGTACTTTAAAAAATTCTACTAATTAATGCACGTATATTAATCTCTGTGTGTATTATGTTTGATTATGTCCGTGGTAGGGCATGAACTGTGCTTGTGTTGTGTGGACAACACAGGTCAACTTACTGGATGCATCCTTGAGCACTCTCTGCCTTATTTCTTTAAAATAGAGTTTTTCCTGTACCTGGAGCTGACTTATTGGGTAGTCTGGATGGCTACCAAGCTCTGGTAATGCTCCAGTCTCTGCTTCTAGCACTGTGATGGCAGGAGCCATTTTTACTTCATGAACCTCCACCCTAAGATTGGAAAAACCTACCCTTAGTAGTCTCATCAGAGAGAAAGAAGCAAGCTGACTTTGTATTTGAGTGGTCTAGTACCACCTTCTCCTGTGTGGTTCTGTGTATTTGCCACAGTGCAGGTAGGCCTTTGTGTGCAAATGTCCTCTACCTCTCTGTGACTAAGCTGCATGTCTCTTAATTGTCTACTCTATGGTCTGCACTGCTTATGAGAGGTACAATGTATGAGCTTTTATTCTTGTGAATGCACACACTAGAATGCACACACTATCAGGAGACACAAATTTACTGAGTCATGAACATTCTGATCAAAGCTTACTGACTTTAAATAATGCACTAGGCGCTGGGCACTAAATGTGCTAAAGAATTTCATGATTATCAAGTCACTAACCAAAACAGCCAAGCTTTCAGGTACAGTACTGAGCATTAGCCTTGGCCCACCCCTCGACTTCACGTAGACAAAGCCGATGTCTCTCTGGGATTACAAGATGAGCTGGGAGTAACCATTCAGAGGCAGTGCTCTCCTGGATTTCAGGAGCTGGTGCAGGCATGGCCATCTGATATAGACTGTCTAGAATGGTAAAATTTAGAGGAACGAGAAAAAGGCACTCTATAGAAAACCCAAAGAAACAGTAAAATAGATTGTATTGGGTTACTGAACATTTGTCTGATTTTTTTTTAATTCAGACTGATAACACCCCCAAAACATCTTTGCTTATGAGATATTCTGTCTCTAAATGATTTGTATCCATTCATCTGACATAGTAGGTTCTTTTCACACAATTTGTATGTGTATGAAGTACAACATGAAGTCCTGAGATACAGGTATATGCACATACATATGTCTGTGGGCCTGCCTGTGTGCTGCTTGGGAACTGCAGGACCATGGACAGCAAACTGCCAAAGCCATGCCCCTGACAGGAGATTGGCTCCTGCAGACTTGGAAACTGAGGTAAAGTTTTCTTCAATGGGAAACTCAGCCCCTTTCTTCACAAGTTCCCAGATCAGTGAGAACCATGGGAATCAAAACACATTAACAGTTAAGGAAGAAGGGAACACAACAGTCTCACTGACCACGAGAAGAAGGCATTTCTTCCGCCTGCCAAAAGACAAAGTCTATCCATTTCCAGAGGAGACAGAATGTAAAGAAAGAAAGGCGTGCATGTAACCAGAAACCTTCCCACCAGGAAATGAGACTTCAAGAGACAGCACTAGCAGACACCAGGCTTAAACAATACAGTAATTAGAGATCTAATTTATCTACGTACCTCCAAAGTGAGCTCTCAGTGATGCTCCCAAGGTTATAGTCATACAACTTTGTCAAAATGAGAATCACCTGAAGGCAGAAGAAGAAATCATGGTTAGTTTCAAACAATTACAATCTCTTAGAACTGAAATGGCCCAGGGGAGGGCTTAGGATTCCTTTAATGGGCGCTTAACATAATTGAATAAATTGTTACTGCTTTTCAGCTGCAGAGGGCTGGCAGGCTGGTACTGATCTGCTCTGGCCTGACGCCTTGCCCACCATTTTTGGTGCTACCCCACAGACAGTGATGCCTATTTTGTCTGTGTATGACTTACCCTGGTGAGCTTAATATATTCTAGGAAGCTTATACAACTAACTGTCAAATATGTACACTTCAAGTTAGCTCCTGAGTAAATACTTAGGAAAGGTCAGTGGTGAAGTTCCTAGCTCCCGTAGCTGGGCCGCATGGTCCACCATCCTTGATTTCTGAACCTCACTGTGCCCATCTGAGAGTGCCAGTAAAGGGCAAGATGCTAACTCCTGGGGAACACTGATGTGAAGAATAAAAACGGATCATAAGTACAAATTACGTAGAAATTAGCACAGGTGTCTTCAGTATTCGCTCCTTCCCTTTCTTTGTGAGTTTGATTAACTGTTTCTTCTGACTTCACACTGAGAGGAGATTCTATACCATACAAGGGAAAAGCAAGGGCATTGTACCAAGACAGTTCTGGGACACATGATTCCTGAGACTTATAAAGTTGGGTATGGAAAAGCCTCCAAATTAGGAACAGGTTCCCGGAAAAACGGACCCTGAACAAATTCCTCTGCGCTTCACAGAAAAAGGTCCCTTTGATTTGTTTCATGTTCCCATCCCCACTTAGAGGAAATCAAACCACTTGGTTCACCTATTCAGAATTCAGGAAATATTAATTGATCATCCATAATATCCCCTCATGCTAGAGGAGAACACAGATAGCACAGTGAAGATTAGAGTCTGTGACCCAAACATTACAAAAAAAAAAAAAAAAAAAAAAAACACAGAAAGAATAAAGGGGTTTCAGAGGCCTGATCCTTGTTAGTGCTCGTGACAGGCTAGGTCATCACGGCTGGTTGAGGTGACAGCATCATTGGCACCTGTAGCCATGAACAGGCTCCACCTGACTTCCTGGAGTAAGCAGCACAACCTGTTTCTACTTCTAATGACCGGGTTTTGTGTGTGTGTGTGTGTGTGTGTGTGTGTGTGTTCACCCTTTGGACAAGAGAAAGAGAGGAATTCATTGCTCCGTTCAGGGTAGTGTCCATGGTCTAGCCCTAGACCTTTTGGCCCTGCTATAATGTTTCCGTCTCAGCAAAAAACCATTCACGACAATGTCCTGGATTTTCTCTGTAGGTCTCAGGATCAATTATAGCCACAGTAAGCACACAATGTTCTAACCTTGAATTCCGAGGCAGTGGCTGCCCGAGCGTGCTAAATACTTCCAAATTCCAGATAACTGACACAGTGCCTCATTTAGGAGGCAGGAGCATCCGTGATCCTTAACACTTCACAGGAAGACAACTAGGACTCCTTTCTAGGAAATGGAGAGCTGCTATGTTACCCAGAAGACCAACGGATATCCCTGCAGTCCTGTCATCCAAGGCTGCTCTCTCCTGACCCGCAGTGTGAGCTGCCATCAATGATCTCCTCAGAACTCCCTTCTTCAGCAAGACATGGGCATGTGTGAGGTGTGGGCACCCTGTGGGCACATCAGATGGCACGCCTGTGGTGGGGCATATGCTTAACAGATCCCTGTGCCAATTAAGTCACCCTCAGTGCTAAATTCCAATCACAGCCAGCCCAGGAACGCTGATCGGTGGCAGCAGGGTGGCTGTTTGTTTGAAGACAGAGAATCATGTGGCTCCATCTCAGGGCGATTTTGCCAAAGAGGCCTATAAATCCCCCACCAAGGAAATGGGGTGTGGGCAGAAAGTATTTCTAGGTAGTTGATCTTATGATACAACATAGCAGTAAACTAAATAATGAAGTTCAGGTGGTCATGGGCCATATCTCCCATTCAAGTGACAAGGGGCTTCGGAGGTGCCCAGGAGTAGGAACTCTTTAACCCCGTGTGACACGGTGTGAGCCAGCCTGCCCGCACACACGGTGATTATTTGTTTCCCAGGGCAGGCGGGCACAATGGTGGAAATCTCTGCTCTGCTTCCTCTTGCTGGACTAGTGAAACTGACAATGCCCATGATACAGGCTGCAGTTAATCACAGAAGAGGCATCCTTTGTAACGTTTCACGGCATAGCTGTTCAACCCAATCTAATCTCCCTGTTTTTAGAGCCAGAGCAAGACAGAAAGGCGACCTTCTACCCTTCAGTTATGTGTTTAATCGATTACCTGAGGTCTCTCTTCCCTTCCTTCTCCCCCGTGGCTGTACGCATTACTCAGCCCTCACTCCTGGGCAGCTGAGAGATGCAACGTTCTGTCGGAGCTCTGATGTTGTTTATTAGTGAGTTACTGCTCACTTCTGATTAGTGGTGCTATTCAACAAAATCCTCATAAGTTAAAGGGGTCACAGCTCAATTCGCTGCTCCAAAGTGAGGATAAGTTGAAAACCCAATTGTGATAGTATCCTGGTACTATCACATTACAGCTTTCTATATTTTCACATATTAAATAAATCAACAGAACTGTGGCAAAATTTGTTTAAATAATATATAACTCATCATTTATTTTCATTGAACAAATAATTTTCATGTATAGGTTTTCTTAGTTTAAAAATATGACAATTTTAAGTTTAATGGAAGCAAGGGTATTTTCATTTCTGTGTGTGTTTCTGAGTATATGTATGTGTGTGTTATATGCATGTGTTCATGTAGAGGTATGTGTGTGTGTATGAGAGGGGAGGCCTGCAAAGATATAGTATTAGGTTTCTTGCTTTATCATTTTACACCTCATATTTTGAGACAGGGTCTCCCACTAAAGAAGGACTGCACTGATTTGACTAGATTGGCTGGACAATGATCTCCAGGGATGTGCTTGTCTCTGCTTCCGTGTGCTGGGGTTACAGATACAAGCCACTACACCTGGTTTTGTCGTCAATGTTGGGACTCGAAACTCAGGTCCTCATGTTTAAACAACTAGAACACTTCTGGTAAGACCATCTTCCCAGTCCCTACCAAGGTTATTTTGACAAGCATACACCTACATGAAATAATGTCCATAAGCTTTCTATTTATTGCTATATGTTGATTTCTTCGTACAGTGCCCAAATGCCCCTGATTAAAACAGAAGACACTAATCCTGATGACAACCTTCATATGTTCCACTCCAAGTCAGAGAGTATCTTCAAATAGCTATGGCTATTCAAATGACTACATATACTAATAATAATACAAATAACTATGAACTGATAACCTCCACTTAACAGACTATCTACAACATCAGCATGAAGTTATATCTGGAACTTTCCACAGTAGCATATCAGAAGTGTCCTTTCTAACCAGTCTCAGAACTCCTGTTAGCACATGAAGTCTGCCTCTTGTTGTGACTTCTTCCTTTTTGTCACATTCTTGCCTTACAAAACCTTGCTTGGTTCATACTTAAAGAAACTGTAGCGCCCACCTGCTGAGTCATTGTGTGGCAGCCATCCATCCCTTACTACTCTGTATGGGAAAGGGTGATGTCTTTAAAGAAATGGGCAAAGGTTTTCTGCTTAGTGTAGAGATCAAGTCAGGCTGGGCCCCAGTACAGCCCTTGTCCAGAGCCCTCCATGCTCCTTCCTGAATAATTCTATCAATGCTGACCATTAAGTCTCTTGCATAAAGGTGAGGAATTGTCACTGAGGACTTTGTGACAGAAAAATGCAATTCACTCCCTCAAAGCCTCAGCCCTTTTCTGCTTTGTATTACAAAACAAAGCTTTGGTAGATATAAATAGAGACAATAATATATGCATGACTAAATGGACATGTCCCACTGTAAATTAGTAAAATCCAGTTAAAATCCTTTTGTACCAAAATAGCTAGACAAGTGTTCTTTCTGAGTTTGCTTAAAATTAATTAATTAAATTGAAACAGCAATGGTTAACACACACAAGTCTTTATTAGGCAAGTTATTAGCCACATAACAACTTTGAATATGACAATTTTTTATTGTTACCATAAAATATAATTTAGAAACAAAATTCCAAGCATTTATAGAGCCCTCAGATCAGCTTCTTGGGAATGCAATTTTGCATGGCATGCATTGGCCAATGACTAAGCGTCATAAAGCAGAGGCTGAAAATTCACTGTTCACCTTCTAAACAGCAGCACTAGAATTTTCTGCTTCTTTTACTAAGAGAAGAAAGTTTCCCCTCATCATTCACTAAATGAGGCATTCTAACCCCACGGGAAGGAAAACCGAATGCTATGAGTATGCCATGCATTTATCAGGACATTTGACTTGACCACTAACCTTGACATACCTTCATCTGGGGAAACTTAGAAAATGGGGAATGCTACCATCTCTGATTTTTCTTCCCCTTTGCCAACTGCGGAATGCTCAACACTAAATGAAATGTATTTACTACATCCCGTCCTATAACTGCTCCTGGAACATTGTGGAAGACTGGGTAGAAACAGTGTAATAGTTAGAGCTGCTCTTACCTACAGGGCAACAATGTCTTTTGGACACAACAGGACTGTTGTGAAATATTAAAGATGTGTTACATTTGTTTATGCTGTGAAACATTTGTTTAATGATGCAAAGATGTGTCGAATTCTTTTATGTTACATTTGTTTACCTCCATGGCACTGTATTACACTGCCTGTCTAAAACACCTGATTGATCTAATAAAGAGCTTAATGGCTAATAGCTAGGCAGGAGGAAGGATAGGCAGGGCTGGCTGGCAGAGAGAATAAATACGAGAAATCTGGGAAGAGAAGATTGAGGAGCAAGCAAAGAAGAAGGAGAGGAGGACAACAGAGGCCAGCCACCTGGCTTCACAACAAGCCATGTGATAAGAAGTAAAGAAAGGTATATAGAATAGAGAAAGGTAAAAGACCAGATGTAAAAGGTAGACAGAATAATTTAAGTTAAGAAAAGATCTCTGGGAGTT